GAAGCTTTGAATTGTTTAATTCTGAAATTATTTAATTTTATTGTCCAATTTCAATTGCAGGTAAGATCAAGTACAAAGTGAAATTAAATAATTTTATTTGGAAATTTCAATAATCCGTAAATAAATTATCACAGTCAACTACAATCCAACGATTATTATTTGACAGTTAACGATACCACCTCCTCGTGGTATCTATATTTCATTGGCGAAAGTGAAATTCCATGTTAGAGATAATTTTATTTCACGAAGAAACTCGTCTCTGTGTCGAGGATCAAGTTGAACGTCTAACTGTGCTTACCCTGTTTCAAACTGATTACGAATACATCAGCAGGTACTACATGTTGTCGATCAATCCCTTCCTTTGTACACCGCGTGTAATTCAACGCTCAATTGCTATTAGATGTTAGTACTCCAGTAAATCTCTCTGATAGGTTCACTATAGCCTTTGATCACTCAGTACCGAGTTGATTCAGGGATCCCTTAAGTGAACACCTGATCCTTTGCAGCGCACCATGTCGACCAGGTCGTGAAAATTTTAGTTCGTTCGATCGAACAGATTATAAAACTTCTGGAAATCTTTATCGGCCGTCATTTATAAATGGATAATCTTCCATCGAAATGCAGTTATCGTTTCCTCGGTTGATTAATATCGAAACAACATTTTAACAAACATATTGGAATTTTTATATATTCCTTTCTAGAACAATTTTTGTCTCATCTTTTATATTTTTGATGCAATTTTGATCGAGTTGATCTGTTTCTTGTATCTGTCTAATTACAATTTCTTATAGGAGACTAATAAATTTTAATGAATACATAGATTGAATCGTGAGAGAGTTGAAGTTTTCATGTTACTTTTGAAGCATCATATCATTTGTTTTATTTCTCTCATTTTTAGTATAATTCCGATTTTAACACTTGTATAATATTTATTAATATTTGTAACAGCTCTTTGTTCCTTTTATTGTAAATTTAATTTTGCAATTTCTAAATTTATTTTCTCTGTTACATAGCTGATGTAACAATTAAGAAAAACCAAACAGTTACTCACTAATAAATGAATAATTCTAAGTGATAACTCTTTCTTAATTTTAATACTTAGTACTAAGTAATATGTATAATATATATTTATATACTAATTATTTTTCTCACGTTCAATGTAACCAAGTATTTGAACAGGATGATATGACAGAAACAAGGTGGAAATGAAATTGCAAAGTAGAAAAAGTATAGGAATAGTAAGTAATATTGTCCAATAACGTCAATTTGGATGAAATTCAAAAGATTATGGGATATAAAATATACGTGGGGGACAGGGCAATTTTTATTTGTTTGTTTCGTTTTGTCCTTCCTTTTATTAAACACACGTTTCATCACGAGAGAACAAGTTTATTCGAGTAATTCACTATAATTCAGTTCAGGCTACATAATAGTTGCTAGTTTGTAACATACTGTTTATTAGATTACCCTTGATTAGCACTGACAATTCACCGGGATTTAATATACAGGTCTCTACTAGTATCTACGTGTCTTTTTTTGTTTTTTTTTTTTTTGTTTTTTTTTGTTTTCGTCGTTTATAACACTCTTCCATGACCGCAACGCAAACGAAACGATTCTTAACTAATCACGAGCACGAATCGTGGAGACGATTGAAACGAACATAGCACGTGACTGTTTAGAGGACCGTTCACTTCTTATGTCGTTCATTTTCGTGCGTTAAACATATGCATGTACACGCACGGCTCTTATTTTTCTACGTTCAACAGTTGTTACACTCCCTTGACTTTTTTAGTGGAAATTAGTTTTTCGTAAGACCTGTACGAATAGCCATCAAATTTTTTGATTCACGTGTCCATTTTTCAAAATCGCGTTACGTGATCTTGGAGGATGTTCATCACTTTAATTTCAAGTTGACAGTTGTGTCGCGTGTTGACCGAATTTTTTTTGAAAATTCGCACAATCATTTCTATTTACTGGCTCGATGTAAATTTTTATAACACAAAAATTTGATTATCAAATGTCCGCTTGATACTCGAATTATCAAAGGAATTTTACTAATAATCAAATTATCAAAATAGTGCGGCAGAACTCCATTTATTATAAACAATATTTCAGTCAGTATTCGATTAGACGGCTTCTTGCTGGTTGAATCTATTTATTTGAAAAATCGCTAAGGGGAGGAAGGAAACATCGACTCTCGTTATATATATTTATATTATGTACAATATATCACTATATATTTATAATAATATATTATACGTTTAATTATCATATATAACCTTGTATACAAATCGTTTGTTTTTTTATATATAAACTATTCGTTCTTTGACAAGTTCGTAGAAACGTCCAGTTCCACTGTAGTTTCCTTGAAAAACAAATTGAAAATTATTCTGTACCGTTTAAGCATTTTATCACTCATCCTCATCTCCTTCTGAATAATGCAAAGTATTCCGTAATTAGAATGTGGATTAAAGATTTTATCCTCCTTCCCGGATACTAAAAGGATTAGGAAAACCGGTGAAACTTTTGCAGTTTGCTCTGTCTGAAACATTAATTCTCTGTAACGAACGGCCCTCCAGTATTCCAGACGCTTTGTTATTTAGCATGATGGACATCCGTCCCATCCGTGTATTCGAAATATCCTCGAATATTTCGAGTATGTCGTGGATCTGGCCTTGTCTTATTGGTTTTCGTTTCTTGTTCAGCAATGTAAATGTTATTTGACGCGCGTGCTTATGCCGCGCGAGTAATGTGGATATCCGTGTTGCCCGGATAATACGGATATCCGTATTATTTGAATAATGTGATAGAGTAATCATATAGTTCAAGAAAATTGTCATAGATTCGATTTGAGGGTGAGGATAGAAATTATCCTATCACGTAGCACAAAATTATCCCGTGTGTATCGAACTTTCCTGTTGAATCGTAACGTTCATTTCCTCTCCTTTGAGACAGAGATTTTTCTCTGGTAAACGTAGAAAAAACTCTTAAAAGAATATTACATATGCAAAAAGTTTCTTCATTTTTCTCCTTTTTTTTTTTTTATATCAAGCGTAGAGAAAATTCTTTAAAAAAAAATTAAAAGTTAACTTTTCTTTTCTTTGAAACATGTTTCTTCGTTTTTCTTTGGTATAAAAATTCTTAAAAAGATATCATATGCATGTATATAAAAATCTGTATCTGTAAAAGTATGTGTTATATACATAAGAGTTGCATACTAAATCGATTGAAAATTAACTTTCAAATTAACTTCGTGAACAAGAATATTTCATCTCAACGAAATTGTGAATACTGATTCACCAATTATAAATTCTACCGAAATATAAAATCTATAACGATGTTAAATTTATCTTTTTTTATCTTTTCTACTTTGTAACTATAGGGGTGATAAAACGAAGGGTTTATAATTTCCAGCCAAATGAAGGGAAAAATGTTCTTATAAATATAGATCGAAAAATTCATATCTTCAAAGTTGTAACCAATTTTTCGTTTTAAAACAACTGATTTGAATCTTCTAGATTTTTGTAGAGACTTTTAAAAAATGCATACCCTTTAACAGTTAACAATATAGACTAATTGTTTAATTATAAAAAATACGAAATTTCAATTTTCAAAAATTCTTGACGGAATATGCAATTCTTTCATAAGAAATCAAATGTACACGGAAATGGCGAGATCTTTTCTAATTAAAAATAAAAAAAACTTTCTGTAACTAAGAAAAATATAATGATAAAGTAATCTATCATTTGAATGGAAAATAACATTGTAGTACGATTCTATAATCTCTATAGATCGTTGCAGTGCAAATATTTCGTCAAACGTTGATGTAAATAGAAGAAAGGAATACTTTAGCCATTTGAAATATATAGAAGAAAGATCCACATCGCTGGAATTTGACAAATAACGTCAAGATTCACTTCATGTGATTTCAGTCGTTTTAACTTTTGATAAAAGGTAAAAAAAATTTAATAAGAAATCGTTTGCAACTTAGGGAATAATAATTTCTTGGATCCTTGTTTATTAAAACTTTTTTTCGTCATTTGGCAATTATTACTTACCTTAAAAGTTATAAATCCTTTCTTTTTATCACTTTGCAGAATTTCATCGATGTAATACGGATATCCACTTCATTTACAAATCGAGCCAATTAAAAAGTGATTGAATATTCCTTCCTTCGCTGATCAATCATCTGATTTCGAATTAAGTGTGATTCTCAATCAGAGAAGCGATAGTTAGTCGTACAGTGCTGACGATTGATATTTTCACACACAGACTGTTCATTTGTAACGATCTACTGCAATTTGCGAATCATTTGCAGACTGTCGTGAGAATTATTGCAAGTGGTTGGTTTTTGATTCAGAGAAAAATTGAAACTTATCGGGAGGCAATCTGTGTTAAACTTTTATCTTCTTCTTTCGTTAAGGCAGAAATGCGTTCACGTGAGACAAGACACGAAAAGAATTGTTGTTAGAAAAGGAACGTGTATAATTTGACATTAAATTATAGATCGTCCAGTGATCATGTCATCTAACCGCGTGTACCATAGTTCGATTTTTTTATCATCGTGGACGTAAATTTGAATTAGATTTATATGTTTCAGTTTCTTCCTGTGATGAGAAACGAAGTGAGAGAAATTTCAGAGAAGCTTCAATTTTTTATTACAAGCTTTCGTTCAGGCAAATTTCAACGAAAGCAGATCATTTAGTTTTTTTAACCCGTTAAGGACCAACGTTGTATAAATATTAATATTCCATTTGCAATTAGTTTATGTTATCAAATTCTATTTTCTAATATTGGAGCTATGGAAAGAAATTTCGAACATTTAATATAATATTTTTTAATATAATATAATTTTATAAATTACATTTTTTAATATAATATTTTTTTTATCATTTTGTTTTGTCACCTAGATTCTATAATTTTATAGGATTTAAAGAAATTCAAATGTTTATAATTAGTTGGGGACGTCTGTAAAAATTCATATTTTTATGAATATAATTTTAAAGAAATGAAACCTTATTAAATCAATCATAGCCTACTTATTGAATCAATATTTCATTTTATTCTTGTAAATTTTTGTACTTCCAGAAATCCCATAAATGCGCCTAGTTTGTCTATAATATTATTATAAATTACTGGTTGGTCCTTAATGGACTAAACTCGTTTAATTAGCAGACACCTTATCTTTTGATTGAACACTGAGTTTTTTAAACGAACGAATAAAAATATTCGTAAAACGAATGTATGAGAATTGAAGAAAATTAACGATTTAAGTGGCTTTTTTTCAAGATGGCAAACGTTTGAAAATCGCTATGCTTTTGATACGATTAAAAATGTTTCCCTTGTTTCGTTTCTCAATTTCCTTCACAGTCGCTTGATTAAACATTAATCGAGGAGGCACGTTCCGACGTGGTATTTCAATGTTTCCATCATTACCAGAGGTTTTTTTTTCATAATTTTCTTTTACTCCGATTTCGTTTCGTACGTGTGTTGCACAAAAATATAAAATTTATCATCTACGAAAACCACTACTCAACAGCGTGTAACAAAGATTCATCAACTTTAACGAAAAAAAAAAAAAAAAAAACAAAAAAGGAAAGAAAGAAAATTACTCTTAAAGTTAACAACCACCCACTAATTTCATCAACCATGCTCTACTATCTCACGTAAAATCATTAATTTCCAAACTTCGAAGCCCCTCATCGTCTTGAAAAGTTCTCCCGCAATATTGTCATTCTTAAGAGAGTACTTTCATTTGGATCTGTCGATTTAAACGACGTATCGGATAGAAAATTGTTAGATTGTTATAGATCGAAATTTTTTATACCTCAAGCATGTTTGAAAACAATATAATGTAACTTTTATACAATTATTACTATTGTAATAATCGCAATTTTCTGCAGTGTACATTTTTAATATCTGCCACGATTTATCGTTGTTGTATCTATCTGAAAGGAGAAAATACAAAAAGTGAATTTGATCTATACAAAAGTGACTATCTTACGTTCTGGAACTGTGTCAACATTAATAGTCATTTTTATCGCCTGGGCAAGTTATATATTTAATGAATTTTTTTTTATACAGTTGCCGTTTTGTTAAAAAAGCTTCTTTAACAACTCTAGTTCACAAGATAACCGCTTCTATACAAATTAATTTCATCTTTAATTTTTCCTTTCGTACGAATGGAACAGTACAAACATATACTTGTACAACAATATAAACCCCCGGCATATGAAAGTTGAAAATTGAAAAAAAAAAAGAATGATAGAAACAATTGTACAAAACCGACCGAGATACAGGACTACAAAATTTCGAAAGCCCTTGATCTATAATCACGCAACAATCTTCCACTCGACGTCAGTATCGATTAGAATCGACGGCACCAAATAGGAAAACGCTCCCTTAAGTAAAATCAAATCATGGAAACCATAAGAGAAGAGGAGAAACATGGACCAACGTCTTGAAACAAATACATGCCCAGTATCAAGGAGCGACGAGCGCTGCACGCGATCCTAGGGATCCTCTTTCGTGGTCGGTTGTATTTGGTGTACCATGCTTGGCAAGTGATGATGATGGTGTTCAGGCCTCCTGGACAGTCCTAGCAACGGTGGCAGCAACGGCAGAGGCAACGGCAATGGCAGACCTCCGGGAAAGCCGGCCAGCCCGCCAAGGAGCGCGGAAGCAGTCGAGTGTTCCTGAGCCTTTCTCCTCAACTCGGCCAAGCTGCTGTTTCTGTGGAGATCGCCGGTTCCAGGCTTACAGCAGCCGCACAGGGAACCTGGCCATCCGGCTGGTGACCAGGACAACATGTCCTGCAAGCTTCCAGGTCGATGGTCGCTCGAGGTCCAGAGCGACGGGGTCGTCGAGGTTAGGGATGTTGGCGCGCTACTGACCACCTTATTGCCAAACAGAGGCGGAGAAAACTGCGCTGCCAAATGCGGCGAGAAGAACAGAGACGTGGGTGGCTCGACTGGCCTGAAACTCGCTGCCAATCCGGGAGCGCTGAAATTTTAATTTTGCAATGATGCCGATTAATTGCAATGGCCGAGTGGCTGAGTTGGTTGAGAAGATTGTTTGGAATGAGAATGGATGAGAAAATGCTTAGATGTTTAGTGTTGGTAGTATGGATCGAATATACTTGAAATAGAAATTTAATTTAATTAAGGAGTGGAATCCTTATTGAAAAGCGAAAATTTTTTTCCATTATTATTGAGAGGATTGTCTGGAATAAATAGATATGAAGATGAGAATAGAAATTGATTAAAGTTGTTAAAAATGTTTAGTGTTGGAAGTTCAGAACGGAAATGTGGACTGAACATACTTGAAATAGAATTTGGAGTGAAATCCTTATTGAAAAGCTAAAATCTTTTTCCATTATTGTTTATAGATTGTTTATATTATAGAATAAAAAGGTATTAAGGTGAGAATAAAATGATTAAAATTTTGAGATTCTTCATTATGATACACACTCATTCTTGTGTTGAAAATATGTCAGAGAATTTTAACAAATTATTCTAAGTTTAATACCACTGACACTATTATGCAGTAAAGAATAAATTAAATTAAATATTTTAAATTAAATATCTAGTTTTTCATTAACATAATATAACATTTATTCATACTAAACAGCACAACACTGCATGATTAACATTTGAATATGTTATACGTAGCATGTGTTAGAAAGTATTACAACTGTAATAATGTAATAAAATAGTGAGTAAAATAAGTAGTGTAATAAAATATAAATTAATCACTTAATGATGTGAAAATTTATATAAATTGAGTACAAATTACAAAAATTATTCGAGATTAATATATTGATGTACAATTGACTAATGATTACCATTACTATAATTACTATTTAGTGACTACACAAATTGATTATTGTCCAATTCTGATTTCAACGAAAGAAAAATATCTCACGACCTGTTACAAGCGAATGAATCACCATATAGACTATTGTTGTTACTTGAAGTAGAATGTCAATTTGAAGTACCATTATTAAAAAGAAAAGTTTCTCGATACGACACTTTGTTGAGCTGGCGGAGATTGAAACAGTTGAGAACAGTTAAGAAGAAGAAGAAAAAAAAAAAACAATAAAGTGCAGCTTCAAAGGTGTGGAAGTTAGTGGAAGGGGGTGAGAGAAGCAAGGGTGGAAGAGGAAATCAGAAGGGCTCACGAAAGCGCTAACCCGATTAGCACGCGCGATATTCCGCATCCTCCAACAGCCGGCGGAGGTTGCTTCGAGGCGCTGATGATTATCTCAAATATTAATCGCAAATATTGTTTAATTAATGTAACGAGCCCCGCGAAGCTCGAAACGGTGCGCAAGAGTGACGGAAACACGGATACGAGGAATCTTCAAGGCGAAACGAGAGGGATGTTTAATTAGGCGGGCAGAGACGAAGCGAAAATGGTAAACAGAGAGATAGGATGATGGATAAACGTGTGCAAATAGACGTAGGAATCTGGAGGAGAAAAAAACAAAAAGAAAGAAAACGAGGAAAGCGAAGGAGAGTTGAAGTTAGAGTGAAGGATTGCAAGTTGTGCAATGGGGAATAAATAATTTTGCGAGGGTAAATAAAGAAGAGAAAAACACTAATGAGGCTAATGAATAATGAATAGTGGAAAATGATGATATGAAAATTTATTCTTCAAGTATGGTGAACGAAAATTTGAGTTAAGTTAAATCTAACTTATCAACTTGAGCCTAATTTTATTATTTAAAAATTTATCGAATAAAAATGTTCAATTTTTCATAGAAATTGTCGATGAAAGTGTTAAAATAGAATTTCTCATGCGTCAAACATTGTGTCCATTACGAAAATGAACAGGTGGAACAAAAAATTCTGTAAGAACAGAATTTTGTATACTTTATATTAAAAGTATATTACATGCTTTTAAATTATTATGATCATAACTAAAGTAATGGATTTTAATTATTGATATAATGATGATAATTATTATTATTGATATAGTAATGATCTATTGATGATAGAGAATTTAAATTATTATGACTAATAATTATTTAAATTATTATGACATAACTAAAGAAATGGATTTTAATTATTGATATAATGATGATAATTATTATTATTCATATAGTAATGATCTATTGATGATAGAGAATTTAAATTATTATGATCATAACTAAAGAAATGGATTTTAATTATTGATATAATGATGATAATTATTATTATTGATATAGTAATGATCTATTGATGATAGGGAATTTAAATTATTATGATCATAACTAAAGAAATGGAAATTAAATACAAATTTTATCTTATATGTACATTACAATGGCATCGTGGATTTCTATGCATTTGAGAGGAAAGTTTTAAGTTCAACATTACACAGCATGCACATAATGTATAGAATAATATAACAGCATATATATATTCTGCATAACATAGTGGGTACGTAAAACAGTTTTTTTTATCATGATTCTATTATTCCAATAGAAGTAATAAAACTCTATGTTTAATTACATTTCCTGATTAATTGTATTGGTATTGTTCACAATTTGCCACATAGTATGTTTTTAGTAAAAAAATCTGAAAACTCTGAATGCAACTTAGTAGTAATTTTTATTAACTATTGAAATACTACATGTGCATAGTATATAAATTTAGTGTAGCTATACAACAGTTTGTATTTCTCTTTTGTATTTTTATTGCAGTATGGTCCAAGTTTCTTCAAATACATTATTTTATCTTTACTCTGTCTTACTTTTTATAGTGTAAACGCAATAACATAGTTTCAAGAATTCAAAATTCAAATTTTCTCGTTTATCTATTTATTATAATTGACATTCTAGTCAACATCCGCAAATAACATTAGTAAATCACAAAATATCATTTATATTATTAATATATATATGCGTGTAATACTTTAATAGTTGATACAACTTGTAATTAAATTTCTCTCAAATCCTTGAGTTCCACTTAAACACATGTGAAACGTTGAAAATTCTGAATTCGATAGCCAAGAGCTGTGTAACAAATATGTAACGAATATTTTACCTATTTTTATATACTTTGTGCATCGTGCGAATTACCAGTTTTTCACAAATCAAATAAAAACCCGCAGTTTGATAATGATACTCGGATCGTTGATTAAAAATTGATATCTGAGGCTGGATTTTGGTTAGTTAGGAAAGAGGCGGGGTGCAGGAAATCGCAACGGGTTGGCAGCTGAGGGTGGCAAAGGAGGTGAAAGACGACGGCAGAGGCGCAGAAAGGAGAGCTTGAACCGCGGTAAGCGCGATAATTAGGGGCAATTAGCTGCGTAGCCTAGCGTACACCGCACTTACGCCCGCTCGCTTGCCCTCCTCGCGTACACGCACTTCGTTTCTTCGTCTCTACACACCTAATCGCGATGCCTACACGGTTACCATGCTTTACGTGTTCTAAACCGCGGCGCGATTTCACTTTGAGAAACGAGATCCTTCTACGCGAACAATCGATCATTGTTTGTCATGTTAATCTGACCTTTACTAACCTCCGTCTGTCTCTTACGTCTCAATTTGACACATTTCTCTTTATTAGTAATGTTTATTTTTGTTTATGTTGTTATTATATTGCTATTATATTATACTACAAGTATTCTATCATATAAATAGTTATTAATAGGCATTTATAGTTTTGGAATATAATTGTGTAACGCACACATACATACGTTAAGCAAAACTCGAGAAAACAACGGAGCAATCTTGGACGCAAATTTCATCGAAATTTTATTGTCGAGAGAATGACTCGACTGTCAATGTTGTGATCGTTCTGCCGATTTGATACAAAGGGACAAATAAAGTGTCGTTGCACGTGTCGTAAATCCATCGAACGAACGGAGATCGATACACCGATGTCGGAAGACGAGTGAAACCAATTTCACTCGAGATTGCCCTCACCGTAATTTAAATCTCACGTTCCTAAGAGGGTCCTCACTGTATAAAATACAAAACGCAAGAAAGGCAGGCAAGGCCGCGAGGAACGAGCCACCCTTCCGCGGTGGCCGAATCCGTCCCTGTTCCGCGGGAAACATCGGCTGCACATGGAAACAGGTCTTTCGGTCTTCTTGAGCTTTGGCTGCTAGGTAAGAAGGAACGCAGCAAAGCGTACACCCCTGCAGCCTCGAGAAGCTGCCGAGCCGCTGAATAAATGATGAGGATATATTTACGGCGAGCGGTTTTAAATAAATTACAACTGCGGAGACGGCGAACGAGTATCTTCCTACCCGTTTCAACCCCTCCCCTTCGAATCCACCCTTGCTGTTTCTATCCGCGGCTGGTTTCCACCATCTTGACTCGAGCCAGCCCGCTACCAGTGTAGTATTCCCTGTGTCTACGTTTCGGGTATTGTTCTTCTTGGCTTCGCCGTCGACGCGAGGGGAGCCTCGTCTGGGATTATAAACAGCCACCGTCGGATACTTACCCGTTGTCGGGAAAGAAATCGGCGAATCGTGCATCTTACGCGCCCGAGCTTTCAACCGTGTATACATATGCATGTGTGCGTGCAACAGTCGGAGGAAAATTGGTTATGGTTTCTTGCTTTCTCTTTCTTTTTTTTTTTTTTTTCGTCGTTCATTCTCGTCTTGCTAGAAGCAAATTCCCTGCGCGTGATCGTGAATGGCAATTTTTTTGTAATGTAATCTGTCTTGTGTGGGAAGTATGGTATGATACGCGTGTTCTTTTTGATTGAATATTTCGATCAGCTTATTTGAGGAACGTGAAAATGAATATACCGTTTCTGAAACTTGTTCGCTTAAATGTTTTTTTAACGTGGTAAAATGAAGTTACTCTTTCCGTTCGATTTATTTTTTCCTTCTTCTAGAGTCATTCTCTAGTCGATCGCATCATGATTACGGGGACACATTAAACGTATCGCGTAGCTAGGGAATGATGTCATTTTATCGAGAACTTTGCTGTCAATTGTATTAACGTAGTATCTTTTAATATATAATAATACAGCAGAGAAAGTTTTCACGTTTCGACGAAGGAGAAGCTTTTCATCGGAAATGAATGTACATCGATGAATATTGATACTAATATTGATACTAATGAGAAACATTTAATGTATTAGTAATACTAATAACAAACACTATTATTGATAACGTCGAATAGCTCACGGAATATGATATTATTTTATTAATACGATGGGCAGCAATGGCTTATCCTTGACTTTCCAATAACATGATTTTCTCGAAATAGTCTCGCTGCAATATTAATTCGAATCATCGAATCATTATTTCAACGATGTTAATTCAAAGAAATATTTACGTTAATGCATGCTATGAAACATGCACGAGCAACGGATCACGAATATGCTAAAACGATATATCCTATGCTCATAACGTTGTTATTTCTAGAGCGGAGTAAAAGAATAATTTCAACCCGTGGGATTTTTCGTTCGCTTCGCCGCTACATAATTCATAAATATAAAGTCTCTTTTGTCAGTGGAAAAAAGTGAAACACACTCGGAAATCCATTTTCATATTCCAGCGTGGTGCACGCGAGTTGTTTTCGTTGAATATGTGTCGGGCAAGAAGTTCGTTTAAATTTCATTTTTCCGCGGGAATTTCTTTCGAATCTCCTGTCTTCCGGCGGAACGGTCATTTTTCTTCGCTGACAATTTTCTTAAGAATTCCTTTCCTTTCAAACTGCTCTGATTTTTCTCAACTGTACGGTACGCTATATGTGTGTTGTAAGTATTTCGACACTTTTGAATTATTGCAGATGTGAAAATTAATTCCGATGCCTTATTAGGTAAATTTGCTATTTATTCATTGATTTTTCTCACTCTTTTTATTTTATGTTATATTTTATGTTTCTTTGATTTGAGTTTTATGTTATCTATTGATTGATCTGATGTCATTTATTGATTTTTTTTTGATCATTCTAATTGTTTTTCAAGTTCTGTTTGTAGTTGAGGGAAATTTGAATACCATGATTGTTCAGATTCTTCGAATTTTCAAAATTTGAAAATTTTTATACGGAGATATTCTTAGTCAGGTACATCTAAATTACTAGTAAAAAATATTTAATTGAAAATCGAACTGCTGAAGAATTTTTAATATTATATAAAATCAAAAGGAATATATATATATATATATATTTTTAATAATCTATAACGTGTTTTATAAATATGTGACGATTTATATTTTAATTAATTTCTCTACGTAATAAAATACAGTTCGAATAAATCTCTAATTTAATCTTAACATACTAATACTAATAATAACATTAAAGTAATAAAAGATACTAATAATAGAATAGACACTAAATAAAAAGAGTGGCTAATATTATAATAATTAAATAATTTTAAATATATCTGTGCCTTATTAAAACTTTAGAACTATTGAAATAAACTTTAAAACTTAACATTATTGAAAATAGTTCTAATCACATTGAGAAAGTTTTCATTGATATTATAAAGCGTCAATTATTTATTAGAAATGATTATGAGACTTGATTACACAGAACAGTAGAAAAATGTTTCTCGATCATTATTGAATTATTCGTGTACCAAATCAATTAATTCCACAAAAAAGTAAAAAAAAAAAAAAAAAAAATAGATAAAATACCGTACATTTTGCTTCAAAATTTCTCTAAAAATTTAAAGTCAACATTGCACGATGTATTAATACAGGAATAGTTTTTATCTAACGACATACAAAATGCCTAAAACAGTGTATCCATGGAATAATCACACTGACTTCTGAAATAAATTATTTATTATGCCATGATGAAACAAAATTTTTAGTAGTATTAAGCCTGCTTATGAAGCAACTCTGTTTTAAGTATACAAAATTAAATTTTCTTCAATAAAGTGAAAAATGAAATTAATTATAATACTTTAGCCTTCGAACAGGTCAGCTGTCGAAACGTAACAAAAAATACCTGTTGGAATTGTTACTACGTAACTGTCGAATTATTTATGAAAAACTATATAAAAAATATAATATCGAGGTATAAAAAAATGTCTAATTAACACAAATCCTGGAAGCAATTGTTTCGATAAAAAAAATCAACTTTTATCATTCATAACGTTCTGTTTAAATAAATCTCATATTGAATGTTCAATCAAACAACACAGAGGAATTCATAGTAACAATAGGTTGTAAGATTATTGCCAATATGAACAAACGAGAAAGACAAAATGCTTCGAAAGCGCAGAAATAATAAACAAACTTTCAGTATATTCATTCAGTGATTCATAAAACCAAGATACCAGTTAACGACCTTGTACAATATTTGCCTACTGTCTCGTTCAACAACTCGACCAAGTTATCCATCTCCGCGAGTCGCGAGGACGCGCTAAAGTATAAAAATCAGCCCTTAAATCGCGCGTAGTCGACTCGCCCCGGTTGTCGCGTTTGCGCGCCGCGTCCCGTTGCGATTTAACGAGGCGACAATTATCGTGATTATACGAGCAGGCAGCGAGCACGCTAGGGGCGAAAAGCGTGGCGCAGCGCGAGAGTCGGATGGGGGTGGAAAGAGAGCCAGCCGGAGAGTAAGGAAGCGGCGAGGAGTGGTTTAATGGCGCGTATCAAGCATCCGGCCGATGTGTTCAGCGATGCTTGCAGCGTGGAATCACGACTGACTTTTAGACGGGGGAAGACGCGGCGAGAGGGGGACGTGTGAGGGCGGATGAAGAAGGAAGATATTTCCTAAAGACGTAAATACAAACGAGGCTAAAAGCTCACCTCTCGCCGGGTGGGCCGAGACCCCCCACGGTGCTAGGTGGTGGCGGTGGCGCCCTTATGGGGGTTGGCGGTGGCGTCGAGACGCCACCCAGGGACGGCTGACTCTGCTGAGGCCGCGGACTGACCGACGCGGAAGTCGTGCTGGGGCTCCTCGACCCGCCAGCTCCATCTGGGCCAGCGTCCTCCGCGTCCGGGGCACTGCTGCTTGTTGTTCCTTTTTCCAAAGGGAGAAATTGCCAACTTTGAATTTTATTTGAGATGAAGATGAAAAAAGACGAATCATTTTCATTAATTTGTTTCATTTTTTCTTTTTTTTTTTTTATTTGAGAAGTAAGTTTGTCTTAGGTCCAAATCAGATACATTTATTTAAGTTAATTTTTAATTGAAACGAAATGAATAATCCGAACAGAAGTTTATGCAACAGAATTAGAAGCCTTTTGAAAAAATTATTGTTATTAATTTAATTTGTTATAATTTAAGCTATTTGGGTTATTATAATTTGAACAATTATTCGAAGAAATTGATGCAAAACAGATGGAGAAAAATCATTTGTTTATCCTGTTAAAAGTGTACTAAAGTATTTAAAGTATTGGATTTTATTTTTCTGTTTTCTTGTTATTTTTTCCTCTTCACTTTATTATGATCATCTGATTTTGAAAGATTCAATACGTAGTAGAGTAATATTGCAACTTTGGTTTATCATTATCATTATTTACAGCAAGAAATGTTGCAGTAAAATATGAATTAGGAAATATTTTAACTATAACTGTGTCGTTCGTCCTTTGTGTCCAATTTAATATATTTTTTTTATAAAATTATATGTACATTACATATATCAGTGCATTAGGTATTTTTGATAACAAAATATGTCATCAGAATTCTAGATAATATTCATATTCAGAGTACTTAACAGCTTTACATTACTTTCTATTTATTATATCATACAATTATACATTCAGTGTGTTACGTTGTTTATAGTTGTAATAAATAAAAATCTCATACAAACATCATATCATAAATGAATAAAATTGATATGATATAATTTGGCACCAAGGAACAAATTATGTTAGAAAAATGAGGAAAGAATAATGATTAATTTTGACAATAACATAATCATTTGAACATTTTGATATGTTATACAAAATTAGTTATAATCAGGAAACAAAACAAACTAAAAAATCCTGTTCGATTTTCTTTAAATGGCGTTCAGTATTAGTTACAATGATTAAGAACTTTTTTTAATATTTGTGAACAAATTGTTTGTTCCTGTGATGCAAAAATTTTTCTTGTATTGTATAGAAAAATATATTCTATTCAAACTAAATATTTATTTTCAAGAATTTTCTTTTAATTCTCTTCTTAAAATTGGAAAAGTTGGAAATCTTTAAAAAGTAAAAATTACTCTTCACAAAATTGTGATTGATGACTGTAAAATTTGTAGCAGAAAAATTAAAATGCACGAAACAGGAAAATATTTATATACAATAAAAAAAAAAAAACACAAACTTCTTTTTATATATTTTACTACAAATCATTCAAGTCTTTAAAGTCAAGTCTGTAACACGCACTGTTACAAACACATAAAATTTCTGTTGAAAATTATATATTGGTCATTTTGATTTGGTGACTATAATATTAAACGTTCACTTCACAACGAAAAGAGAAACTTTCGAAATAACATTTCATTGTAACATTTCTTCTTGCAGCTAATGAAAATGATGTATGTTAAAGTGGCAATATCAAGTAAGATGTAAAACGTTTTGGATAATTGTTGGTTCTGTTAATTTAAAGAGATGCAACTAGATTATACAAGTCCGAATTGATTCTAATGTAAAATTTATTAGATCGACGTTAGTAGTAATGTTTTGGAGGCTCGTGTGCTTTTATTCATGATCGTACCTTCAGGATCGTGTCCTGTGGGACTTGGACCTGCCGATGAAGACGTTGGTGGTGCCAGACCTGTCGTTTCCAATGCACCAGCTCCTCCGTTACCTTCTCTTTTCCTCTGTTCTTCCTTCAAACGCTCGCTTTTCCTCCACTTTGCTCTACGATTTTGAAACCATACCTGGAAACAATTTCGAATGTTTCCATTAGTAGAATGTTTCTGTTTCACATATATGGATTTCAATCAGTATAATTTGTAATGCTCATCTCTTCACGTAACTTTCCACAGTCTTTTCTTTTTATAACTATTTCGTTTTTTGAAGTGTTGTGTGCAGTAAACAAAATCACGCGTGATATTTAATATTTAAGAGAGGGTGTTTCCAGATTTTGAAACTGTGATGTATGTTTTTACGGATGATGAATCAATTGCTGTATATCTGATATATAAGAAATGGTGAAATTAAATTTGATGATAAATAGTGGCATTTTAGTTTTACATAATCTTATCGAAATAAAATTTCTGTTCTACTTGAGACTTTTTTTTTTTTTTACTGCAAAATGAAGGTGTACGTTTAAAATTGCGACCTTTATTCGTTAAATCAGTATTTTTTTTTTTGCAATTTTTTTACTTCCAATTAATGCACATACTATCTACTAATTAAATAATTTTTATAATTAAATATTATTATTTTATTTGATTAGATATTATCTGAAATTATTAATTGAAATTTTATTTTATTCCATATAAGATATACCCAAGCATTCCTCTGTTATTTATTTGCGCGTGTAAAAAATTTCGTAGCTTCCTGAAGACGAACTATAACTCAAAAAAATATTGCCCCAGACAATTGTGCAGACAAGCAAACTTGATTTAATCTATTTCTTCGTTAGAAATAAAGGATCTCTTGGTAATAATTTCAACTCAAAAATATTTAACTGAACAATCGATCGTCGCTAAGAAAAAAAAAAAAAAAAAAAGGAAAATAAAAGGAAAAGAAGAGAAAAGAAAAAAAAAATGAAAGAAAGAAACAAAGATACGTCAGCTAATCCACTCCTCGGCAATTGGTTACGACGAAGACGTAAATAGAGTGAAAGATGCGCGACACGGTGTAAAAGAAGAAAAAAAAAGAAAAAAAAAAAAATAAAGAAAGCGAGATAAAAAAAAAAGAAGCGAGAGAGTATGATGAGGAACGGCGCTGAAGGCGGCACTTAAGCTGCTTTATAGGGCTACACCTGGTGTGCGGCTATGGAAGGATAATTGCATGTAGGGGGATGGCATTCGCGGCCGGACCAGAAGGGGTGTTGGGCCTCTTGCCCGCGTGCATGTTCAACGAGCCGACAGCAACCACGGCGGCCGAGTGTTTTTTAAAAAGCTCGAGTTCCACTAACGAGCCTAACTTGACATAATACCAACTGAAATAGACTTTATTATACCCGGCGGTTCTACGTCGCTTCGTGCTTTCGCTCACCCCTCTCCGCGCGTGCTGTTGCTTTCCAATTGCACCCTAACACCTAGCTTCTTCTAGAGAACGAGTTCCTCTTTCGAACATTCCGCTACGATGTTCTTGAGGTCACGGCGACTCGAGTTTGAGATCGCCGTGACATCGTTAACTTCACTTTATCGTGATCCTCTCGTTTTATTTAGAATAATTTCTGTGCTGTGCTTTTTTTTTATCATTGCTCGGATCTGTTCTATGAATATTCGTGAATTGTGTACAGATAATTTAAAAGAAGTTGATATTTTTGTTTTGTTTTCGTAGTTACGAGGGCTCCTAGGAAATCTGTGTCTCTGAAATGAATATAATTGAATAAAAATTAAAAGTGTGGTTTTTTTTTGAATCTTTTTATTGAATAGTTGTATTAAACTTTTTGCAAAAAGGAAAGGAAATGTGAAGTTTTATCCTACGACGTAGGTGAAATTGCATATGTAGTATTTGATATCATTTCCAACATTTGTCACATTGGAATTTATTTAAATCTTCAGAGCAAGTTACATTGTATCCAACCTTCATTCAATTTCAGATTATAACATATTATTGTTGCTTTTATTATTATTATTCAAATAAAAAAATAATTAAACAGTATTCGAAATATTGTTTTAGTATTTTCTTAATCGTCCAAATCTTATCTACAATTGGATATTCGATTTTATTCAGTATGTAAGCAACTTTAAAAATTATAAATTTTTGAGGTTAATCACATGACGAAGTAAAAAGAAACCATTTATGTATTCATACGTAACAAATAGAATATTCCATATTAGAAAGTACTTGCTCGAATAATATCAGTAATTACAATCTTGCTAATTGTTGTTACGATTTTTTTCTTAGTTGTGCGCAATTTTTCAATATTTTGGAAATTTGTCGTAAGATTTTGATTATGAATAATTGTAAACGTAACACTATACTATGCTGTGAGATAAATTATAAATATGTACTATACTAATAGATAGATTATTATGTCTATCTAATAAATATTTAGTATTATATTTACAACTGAAAGAACGAAAGAAAAAAATTTGCAATTAAAACAAGACTCTTTTTATTACGAAATCTTCAAGTAGGGCATTTTTTAATTGATGTTAAAATTATATTCATTGAAATTGAAAAAGTAATTGTAATTCTTGAAAACATCCCCCAGATATTATGCACGATGATTTCAATTCAACACAATATTAAGAGTTACCGAATAGACACTGCAATTTTGCAAAAATTTCCAAGATATTGCTTTAATTAATAGGCTCACCCTCTTTATCATCCAAAGGATGACGAAACATCATTACCATCATTACCGAAACAAAATTCATCCGTTATCTCCGCGTAAAAATCTTCCGCGAAAGTTAAACGAATCCCGGGGAAAGTTTCAGAGAATCACGGCGCAAAAGTAACGGGGGGAGGAGCTCATTAACTTAATTGGAATCAATAATAGAATAAAGTTCCGGGAAGTCGATTACACCCCGCGCAAACGTAATTCTTCGTGCAACTTGCCTCTGAAAGACAAAACGCGTTATTAGAGACGGGGCCTGGTACACGGCGAATGATTATCTTTTCGTCCGGGAGCGAAAGTTTCACGGCGAGAGGAAGCTTGGAAAATGGTTTAATAAAATAAATACGATGAGCCAAGCTTCGCGTTGCCTTCGAATTCGTACGCGGGGAACGAGGACGGTGGGTACCGGCTGACGGCGAAAGATATAATAATAGGGTTGCGGGGGCGAGTAATAGCTGGGAACAAAGCCGCGGTTCCGTCGGGACTGGCAGTCTCTCTCTCTCTCTCTTCTTTGTCTTTCCATCGGATCGTTCCCGTTTTCTTTTCCTCCTTCCCCCGCTTCCACCGCGTTTCCTCTTTTTCCCAATACGAATTTAATCCGAAAGACGTCGGTAATGGCGCCCGACTCGTTCCCCCCTTTTCGTGAAATAAACGCATTTAATCTTTCAACACTTGTTACAGAAAAAGTGTGACGGATCGACGGATCGATGGAGAACGTGTCTCCGAGCACGGTGGTTGATCGTTTTGACGATTAAAAATGAGCTACAGTTGATTGTTTTTAGTTGCTCTTTGAAATTGATACAGTTATGCCTGCGCTGTGGCAACTGATTGCGGACCGTAACGAGTGACCGAACCGTATACAATAAAATCGTCGCTTCCTTTTTGTACTCGTCGGTGTGATTATCACTGGATGGAAATTATTAAGAAGCAGTAAATTTATTTTGTTTTCGTTTTGCCTGGGTTATACTTGAATATACTTAAACACTGAGAAAATATTGCAATTTTGGGACGAAAGATTCTCGACGTGCGTGCCACGTCATTCCAACGCTAGAGGTTAATCCTTCGACCCTTGGTGGTTGTAGGGCAGACCATGCTCCGATGGAATTTTACTTTTACCGTTTTTGATCGTGAATTGGATTTCTGCCAGATATGCAGAGAGAGCTTGATTTAGTTTCTGTTTTTTTTTTTTACTGGGGCGAGTACTCTTTTTTAAGGCAATTAACGAGGCTTGGGCATCATTTCAATAAAATATTTTAAGTATGACCATTTAAATGACATGTCATCCTATTTGACTCGATGTTATCTTGAAATAATCTTACATTAGTTTATTTGACCAAGCAAGTGATTTCCCTCTATCTCATTATTTGATTGTCGAATAAAATAATTTTTTATTTTGTATTACAAAGTTATTATAAATATTAATATTTATAGATACAATATATTAATATAGATTTACTATATGAAATAAGATATAATTAATATAGATAATAATTACAGACAGCTATCTAGCTATTTAGAGATAACTATTGTTTGTTTTAAATTACCTAATTTTAAATTAATTAACAATTGTATCTATTATATATTAATATCATTATTTTAAGATTTACGTAATTCTCTATTCTCTCGTTATGTTTCTTACGCTGCGATGAAAAGTTTATTCCTATTTACGAATTCGGTATAAATTGAACATAAGCATCAACTATAATAATTGAAATTTCATTTAGTTGTTAAAGTCTCACCTAGTTTCATATAATGGAAAATTGAATCGACCAATCGTCCGAGGTCTGTTTTACAAATCAGTTAAACGGGCTTGAATGTATGCAAAACTCATGTGCCAAAGCCTCTTAGTTCTTCATTATGTTTTCATTAAAAGAACGAAAGGAACATTTTTGCTTGGAAATTTATAAGCGCATTAGCACGGTATGTAATCCAATGGTAAAAGGCATCGTTGTTCTTCACCCTCGTATATTTCATACGTTCCTTCTACCGCTACCCTCTGTTCTTCTTCATTTTTTAATCGTACCCTGCCTTCCTTTTTTTTTGTTTGTCGTTTTTTTTATGTTTTTAATCCGAAACATGTCAGCATTGCTCCACTCTGACCGGAAGTCAAATGCGCTTAATCTCTTGCCACTTGTTTTGAAAATCTGCTTTTAATTATTCTTTGCATTTGGCCCCTTCTTTTTTCACAAACAGGATAACGGCCGCTTTAAATCTGTTAATACACGTAATCCTACAGCATTACCATTATTAAACAATGATGGTAAATAAATATTTCTTCACGGATATTTTGGATTTTATCTAAAAATGGATGAAGTTTTTTAGCTTCTTTAATTCAAATTCTCGGATGTTGTATTCTTCTGCGGCGTCGTTTCGCTATCGTTTTGCAAAGGAAAATTTGACAGTGAATTTATCTAA